TATATATATATATATATATATATATATATATATATATATATATATATATATATATATACACACATGTACATATACATATATTCGCGTCTCACCCACATTGTAGAAAACACGCGCAATGCAAAATTCGCCTAATGTAGAAGGATGGACAGAGAGGAGAAGGGAGACTTTGTTGTATATGTAGATATCCTGCATTTTCTTTTGTTTTCGTATTATGTAGTTTTATGTATATCGATCTGTGAAATGTTAATTGATTTGCACCGATTCGAAAACAACCAAGATATATGCTACAGACCGATATTTAGAGATGTAATTGAGAGGAGAATAGAGTTTCTTGTATAAAACTAGATTAAAAATATGAAACAATTCTTGGTTGGTCTTTTTGAAGGCTTTAAGGTCTTTCAGAAGAACAATTTTCAAGATTAGAAAACTATTCAATGCTGAATTATCATTAAGAATCTCGAGACTACTCAACTTTATCACTCGATTCAGTCGGGAAATTCAAGAAAGTTCAGAAACAATAATGCAGAGATGTGAAAAGATTGCTCAGAGCAACACTGACATTCTTTGACGTTTTGTCTAGAATAGCCTGAAATGCACAAGTATAGTCACGTATCGGGTAACAATGCAAGATCTAATGGTGTATTGTATAGTTGTAATTGACTACATATGTGACGTTGTGTCCTTATAAAGATACAAAAAAAACTTTATATAGGATGTTTGGAGAACAAAGAAAAAGAATGACAAACTTTTAGGGCTCATAGTTTGTGTAACGAGCTCGAGACATATCGAATCGCCTGAATATACGAAAAAAGTCTTAAATGTTTTCTTGAAGATATTGAAAGTCATGATGCACGATATACTTGACGTATGTATGTTTACACATATTTTAATGTGTAAATTTATCGTCGGTACATTAAACAGGCTTTGAGAACTTTTGGCGTGTGTGTAAAATACAAGTTTCGAGTAATATTGAAATTAAATTGATCTCGAATTTCTCAGATTATTTGAAGAATATTTAAGACAAAGATTCAGACGTCTATCGTTTTTTACAGTACCCGTCGACAAATAAACGACAAGTTGTTTCAAAGCTGTAGGTACCAAATGATTCAACGTGTACAATTGTTTTGAGTTATCGATTAAACATTATTATGTTGCGTCTCATATATTTACGTGTAAATAATGTCGAATAATGAAATACCTCCTTCCTTCTGGGTCGGGCGAGTTTTATGCTGTATCGAGGTGCGCTTAAACGAGCAACGATTCCTTGCTGCAATTGTCAGCTATTCATCCGCCGCGAGTATCGGTGACAATTGTTGGTCAATATCGAGCGATTATTGACTCGCATGTGTGTATATGTATACATGTGTGTATATGTGTGTGTGTGTGTGTATGCGTGCGCGCGTGCGTGCGCGCGCGCGCGTGTGTGTGTGTGTATATATATGTATGTATAACCTTTAGATTAGTAATATAACAGTAGAAGAATAAATCGCCGTGATAACGTCGTCATGGCGATTAATTAGTCAACGATATAAACGTCGAGTATTATCAGTGACAAATGATCGATATCGAGCGCTTGTAAATCCATGAGACCGATGTCTTGTGGGTCCTATATGTACTCATTTTATGAGACAATTAGAGCTGTGTTTCAAAACGAGTAGCCTATTCGGCGATACTAATGGAAGTGTCGTAACTACAATCGTAGCCGTCTTTTGGCTAACTTTCAATTGTGTTTGCGCCCACTCCTGTCATCTTTTTCAGTGGTAACTGGAAAACATGAGCAAGTCTCATTTTTAGTTGCGAATTTGGAATTTCGTTTGTTACGATACTTTTCATCAGTACCGTCGTACTACGGTGATTATTACCGGCAATACGAGCTCGCCAAGTGCATTGCGGCCAATAATTTAGCAACTTTGGGTGGTCGTTTACCCATGTGCGACATCCGAGGGTATGTTTAAACGGGCAATTTTTTATAACGACAGTTGCTCGATATCGAGCAATTATTGAGTCACGTGTCAAAGCTGTGATTCGTAGAAAATTGGTAGCTTCTTTTCATCGAAAAAAGTTTCTTCAAATACAATGAAACTACGCTCTATCTTGTCTCTCTCTCTCTCTCTCTCTCTCTCTCTCTCTCTCTCTCTCTCTTTTTTCTCTCTCTCTCTCTCTCTATGATTTTCGGAACGTGCAAGGGAACGGGTCGCGACAACTACGAACATCGAACACAAAGAATGTTAGCGCACTTGCGACTAAGGTCTCGAACGAAAGGTAGGTATATTCCTTGCGTCACGACGACGCTCGGTTGTAATTTTATTCCAATCGAATATCGAAAAAATTGGTACAATTTCATAAAAGATGAAACCTGTCGCAAAGTATCTCGATGTTATTTTTTTATTTTAATGCGACGACAAGTATATATCGAATTTTCAATTCTTTTGATATTTTTTGTTGCTCGAGTTCTATACTCTATTCGAGGAAAAATCAGTTGAACTGAAGAATCTACGGTGAAAAGTACATCCCGTTTGGAATGTCTGATACAATCGGCACGATATCGCGCATGTGTTGTTTAACGTTCATTGCCCTTCTAAACATACCTATTAATTACGCGTTTGCTTATATAGTATTAGTACAGCATGTGAACATATCGAGACGTGAGATTAAAGGAGGAAAAGCCTTTTCCTCCGTCGTTTCATATCATTTTCTTTCTCGACTCTCTCATCAACGTATTCGCTGATCGTTTTCTAAGCGCGTCAACTGCCAAAACTAAAATTACTCTCGCGCTAGACAAAGAGATTGCGTGTCCCGCCGACTGTTAAAATCATAATTCTTTGTCAAATCGTCTTATATATATTTTATCGTTACAAGTAGCTTTGACAAAGTCGTCAGAACATGAAGAGGAGTTCAAATTTTGTTCGTAAAAATTGCAAATGATTCCACGAAAATGGTGTATGTATTATATGTACATACAATATATACATATGTCAATAAGTATACATGATGGACCACGAGTACATAAATTTATGTTGTCAATTATATGCAAAATGGAAGGAAAAGCGCGAGAGATTAATCTTTATTTATAAAAGAATTGACAAGTGTTTTATACGCTAACGAGAGATGATTGTCTGGAATGTTTATTAATTCTTTAACAATGAATGTAACGTTACAATACACCTCGAAACAAACGCAACTTATTGTGAGAAAAATGATTAAGATCGAGATCAAGGGTCACCTCTGGTAAAATAGGTGTAAAATAAAATGGATATATAAAATCGCGCAACTGTTGTGAATAATCTGCTGGCCTAAAGCCAGATGGCACCCAGAGGAACGTAGGCACTAGAAAAGTTGATCAATCGATTTTTTTTTGGACTGTAAGAAGAATCACCGATTGTGATTGGTCAATTTGTTTATTGCTCGGATTTTTCTGTGTGCTATCCACTTAAATGTATAATAATTCGCGAATATGCTTTCAAGATAAACTACACAAAAAAATCGTTAATATAAGATGTTACAATGTTAGAAATCCTTATAACACTATACACAAAATTTACAACGCACATGGATTCTTCGATAACTGTCCCCAGGAAAAATAAATGACAAATTTGTTGACAAAGTATATCGAATTACATCGCCATAAACCGAAAATCGCTGACACTTTCCTTTTAATTTGTATACTCGCAGATTGCGAGTCGAATTATGCAACGTTGAAACAAAAAAAGCATCTTTTAAGCTTTAATCGTTCACATAGAATGAATGAATCGGTGTATGATATTCGTTAATGAACAAATGCAGAATTTAAAGTTTCCCCTTTAAAACTTTTTATATACAGGGTGTCCCGCATAAGGCGTACGAAAAGAAAAATATAAGTAGAACACATAAAAGTGAACAAAAATTGTATAGGTCATTTTTCAAACAACCGCGTAAAATTTCGAGATATTAATTAAAATAACTGGGCATATCAGAGCGCGGCGACACGGCAGGCGGGACATACCGCTCGCCGCAGCCGGCGAAGGAAATGGAAGAACGCACACACGGAGCTACCCATTTCAGTATGTCAAACAATCCACCTCTCTGGCCTATAAGATAAGCCCGCGAGCAATTGTCCATTTTTTCCGCTGGCCGCAGCGAGCCACATGTCCCGCCTGCCGCGTCGCCGCACTCTGATATGCCCAATTATTTTAATTAATATCTCGAAATTTTACGTGGTTATTTGAAAAATGACCTCTACAATATTTGTTCACTTTTATCTGTTCTACTTATATTTTTCTTGTTGGACGTCTTATGCGGGACACTCTGTATATATACAAGGTGTCTCAGAACAATCTACGAAGCTCTCGTGAGAACATAGAGCGGGTTAAAATAAACAAAAAGTCCTATACCGTTTTGCGATATTCGTAATAATAATCGAGAAATTAATTGTGAAAGATTAAGGAAAAGCGTGTGTTGAATGGTATACGGACCGCTCGAGTCACACTGCAGCCCAGCATATAGCGCGCGGATGTCGCGCGTGCCAGTTGGAAGACAATGCACCACTGCCTATACTTATACTGCTGTCCTCCTACATCTCGCCTCGGTGCGATGCGGCAAGACATTGGCCCATATTCTGAATCCTCTTTTATCGATAAAAGTGTCTCAAAATGTAGCTTCTCAACCAATCAGGTGGCTCCTAAGCCTCTTTTAGAGACATTTTTACAAATAAAAGAGGGTTTAGAATATGGGTCATAGACTTTTCCTTAATCTTTCGTAATTAATTTCTCGGTTATTATTAGGAATATCGCAAAACGATATAGGACTTTTATATTTATTTTAACCCGCTCTACGTTCTCACGAGAGCTTCGTAGATTGTTTTGAGACACTCTGTATACATATATAAATTTTTTTTAGTACAAACAAGTTTTTATTGTAAAAATTTAACCGAAATTTGAGGTTAAAAATTCAAAAATCATCATTTAACTTGATATATCTTGATGAAATGCTACTCGAACTACATTCTTATTGTCATTTTTATTAAAGTTATAGCTCGTTGAATCTTGTCAAGTCATCATGATAAAGTGAAAATGTGCTTGATCTGGTACTGAGAGTCCACATCAGTGACGTATATATATAGACCAAGCATTTTGTCCGCAAAGTGAAACCGGAAGTTGGCAGTTTAAAACAGAGTGAGAAAGTTGATTTGCCCCTAGTGCTTTCTCATAGCATGTTCGACTGGCTCTGGGTTAACCCACTCTGGGTTATTCAGCCTATGTTTATTGGTCGAACAAGTATTTATAAGCTCTATAATTGGCTAGTAGAGACTTATGACGTCATTAATCGCTCTCGGAGCGATTAACCCAGGGCCAGTCGAACACGCTATCATTTTCATTCGCTGACAACTCACGTTACAGCCATATTCTTACAGCTATTGTAGATGAGCTTTTACGGATGTGCTTGTGCGTTGCTCGAAGGCCGCATAGCGGCAACCAATCAACAAAGAGCGACGTAGCGCTGATTCTATGATTCACTCTCTATCCCTCTTTTAAGGGTGCAAACATGGACGTAATATACATGGATTCTGGCCGCCTACGGCCAGAAAAGTGAAACCAATATGTACAGCCCCTCTGTGTTCTTTGTCTCTTTCTGCACAGACAAAGTGTGCAATAAAATTTAAGTAAGACTTTTAGGGTGCCATTACATGAAGCGCGGAAACGCGAAAGACAAAATCTTACTAGATCCGCTACGCGTTCCGCGTCTGTTTTGTGCTGCGTTCGGAAACACACTGCGTGCATACTAGGTGGTAAATTTAGTTCCTGAGGCTCACTGTTAGATGACGTTAGTTGTAGGTGTAATTTATTTTGACATCTGAAACTGGCTGCATTTTAGGTTAGAGGTTAGACATTTGTCAATAAAATTCAGTGCGAAGAAATTCATTTAAGCGAGCAGTGCTATTTTTTCTTTTGATTAAATATGGAACGTGATAAGTTGTTTTTTCGACATATGCTGCTTCATTACTTTGACTTGAAAAAAACTGCAACTGCAGCTCATAAATTGCTTTTCGAAGCTTATGGCAATTATGCTCCATCGGAAAGAACATGCCAAGTATGGTTTCAGCGATTTAAGAGTGGTGATTTTGATGTCAATGATAAAGAACGCTCAGGCCAACCGAAAAAGTTTGAAGACACCGATTTGCAGGCATTATTGGACGAAAACTCTACTCAAACGCTCCAAGAATTGTCTTAAGAATTAAATGTTACTCCGATGGCTGTTTCCAAACGTCTACATGCAATGGGAAAAATTCAAAAGGAGGGAAAATGGGTACCACACGAATTAACCCCAAATGCCATTGCGAATCGCTTAAACATCTCTATTTCTCTGCTCGCCAGGCAGAAAAAGAAGAGTTTTTTGTGGCGCATAGTGACTGGCGATGAAAAATGGATATACTTCGATAATCCTAAACGAAGAAAATCATGGGTAGACCCTGGCCAACCATCGACATCCACACCAAAGAGAAATATTCATGGCCACAAAGCAATGCTTTGCATTTGGTGGGATATGCACGGCGTCGTTTATTATGAGCTACTCAGACCGAACGAAAGTATCACGGGGGATCGATATCAATCACAATTAAACCGTCTGAATGAAGCATTGTTGGAAAAAAGGCCAGCAGTAGCCAGCAATCGACGTAAAGTCATGCTTTTGCACGACAACGCTCGACCACACGTTGCCAAAGCCGTCAAAGAAACACTGATGCAGCTCGAGTGGGAAGTTCTCCCGCACCCAGCGTATTCACCAGACTTAGCTCCTTCGGACTATTACTTGTTCCGGTCGATGCAGCACGGCTTGGTGGATACACACTTCAGAAATTACGAGGATGTGCGAAAATGGATCGACGAATGGATTGCATCAAAAGACCAATCGTTCTATCGTCGCGGAATCTACGCGTTGCCCGAAAGATGGGAAAAATGTATAGCTAGCGAGGGAAAATACTTCGATTAATGTATTTTTTGCTTTTGATGTCGAAATAAATGAGTTTTTTAAACAAAAAAACCGCAGGAACTAAGTTTACCACCTAATATTAAACGATAGCCGTTGGAGTGAGCGAAATACAAGAGTGAGATAAAAAGAAAGGGAGAGTACTCGAGTGACGTTTCCGGGGAGCGGTGCACTTGGACACGGTGCATTTGGACACAGCCAATCACAGCACCGTGTGATTAGAGACATTTGTAGGGTCCCTTGGAACAGCGACTTGTGATTGGACTGTGTCCAATTGCCCCGTGTCCAACTGATATACACCC